TCACAGTCAGATCTGCGCCCTGCATTGATCCAGTTGAGGCTTTATAATGATGCATCACAAACCAGGAAGTGATATTATGGTGGCTATGTTGATTGTTTGTAGCAGTTATTTTATTAGTCTGCATCTGTGCATGGCCCTCAAACAGTACATGTTGTCTAAGCTAAGAATGCTAAGTTAACAGGCTCGTTAGCATTCTACCCACATCCAAATATGGTCAAGCTACTAGATACACGTAACACTTTAGTAAGGGTTTCAAAACACCTGCCAATAGGTAATATTATGGTGGCTCTGTCCAGCTCTTCTGTATTATCTATTGTTTGAATCCTGTGAGCTTCAGATGTTTATTAAATGTTGTATCTACATAAAAGCAAACCTTAATCTTTTCCAAAATGCTGATCAACTGTCTGTGCTTGCTTTTTCATGACTGCTCTGTAGAAATTATCAACAATCATATTTCTACTTTATTTACACCACTTTCTTAAGATATTACAGTGCATTTTTAAATTGCTCATTTACCTTGAACATATGAAACGTTTGATTAAAAATTAATAAATTGACATGCATTTTGACTTTTTTTAGATTTTTTTAGGGGAAACAACGTCATGCAATACTTTCTAATTAATTTTATCTATTTATTCCAATATTCTTACTTTATTTTTTTGTCTTTTTCTGTAGGTACAACATATGGACAAGACTACTAGAATACATGTACAGGAGCTGCTTATGGCATGAAGCTGATAATGACAAAGGAGGTTTTAATTCTGGCAGAATCAGCAGAGAACTGGTGACTTTTACACAGTTATACCCCTCAGCACTCAGCGAATCCACTCATGTAGCTTTACATGGTCTGCTACTTTCTGTCTCAGTTCCTGAAAACCTCTGGTTTGTAATAATACCACTTACAGTTGATGGTGGAATATCTAAAAGTTAAGAAATTTCATCAACTGATTTCTTGCAATGGTGGCATCCTCTTACAGCACCACACACGAGTTCACTGAGCTTTAAAACAACCCATTCTTTAAAAAAGGAAAAGCAAGCCGCCGGACCAAGGGCCTGAATTTACAACACCTGTGGCAATGGGACTGAAAACACCTGAATTAAAAGATTAAAAGGTGTGGACCAATACTTTTATGTATAATGAAAGGTTATGTAACCAAATAATTTAAAAAATGCTATAACCACATATAAATTCTACATGTTGCGCCTTTAAAGGTCTAATTAAAAAGACGACTGCTGAAGAGAACAGATAAAAGGACATGTCACCCAGATGCCCCTGGAACTCACGGTGGTGATTAATGGTATTGATGAGTCTTAGGCCCACATTTGCGTGGTTGTTGGTCATGAGCACAACATCAAAGAGCTCCTCGCTCTCGGGGTAAAGCTCCCTCAGTTTAGCGTTCACAGCCTCCAGAGCCTGGGAACACGAGCAGACAGGTTTCAGTTATACAAACAGGGTAATTCTGTATCCCCGCAGTGGGATGGAAACGTGTGAATGTGTTTGAGTGGGTTTGTGGTTGTGTTTCGTATTCATCCACCGACTCCAGAGACACGACCTAACACTGACAACAGTGAATCTCTCTCTGCGTTAGTGTGCATGTGTGAAGCCGACTTAGAAGCCGACTTAGACAGAGACTGAGTCATCTATGAAGGGAGGTGCAGCTAACACAGGATTTAATAGAGCTGACAACGACCTAACACTGACAACAGTGAATCTCTCTCTGCGTTAGTGTGCATGTGTGTGTGTGCTTGTTTCTCCAGCTCTTTGCCTTCCCAGTCTCTGACCTTGACAAAGGAGAAAGCAGGTCCGGGGCTGAACGGCTCCGTTTCGTGCTCCACTTGGTACTTGATGTACTCTTCCATGCCTTGCTGTTCATAGATCTGCTGCTCCTTCTCCATGTTGAAGAGGACTCGAGATGACACGGCGATGGTGATGGCATTTTCAGGCTTGGGCTGGAGCGTGAATGAGAGGAGCTGAGATTGTTACCAAGTTGGGTAGAGAGCTGTATTTTTTTTCCTGAACGCAGGCACAAGAGACATTATAATTTTATAAGAAAATGCACAAGATCCTGATGAAACCTTTATGTTATTGACCTTGCCTGGCATGCAACAGTAGATAAACTGAGTGAGCTGATGTGACAGAATAGAAGTGACAGCGTGATATAACATACTTTCCTCAGAGCCTGATAGTGTAGGTCCAAACACCAGAAGGGCTGACACCTGTTAACTCTGTAAAGGCTGAGGCGTTTAAATTGCTTGCATAATCTGAAAAGTTTCCTTTTGTGTAAATACTTTGGTGTTTATGAGTCCACTAAACTTAGAAATATGCTGTCACACCCTTTTATTTAATTGACAGCACGAAGAAATCCACAGAAGGAAAAATATTCAAACTACTTAAAAAATATTAATCGAATCAGGACATATTTCTGTCAGATTCCCAGGTTAGACAATTCTTTGTGTTCTTAATGCGCTTTAAGCTTTAGGTGTTTCAGTTTTTAACCCTGTAAGTTCTGAATCTTCATCTATGTTTTGGAAGAAAGCAAAAAAAACAGAACTGTATATTATGATTGCAAAGATTAGGGTTAGCGCTAAGGCTGAGGTCATCACCGATGATGACTTGGACCTGGCAGGGTGAAATTTCGATTCTTCCCCTCCAGAAAAAAAGTCCAAATGAGGTCACTTTACTGACCCGAAACAAGACCCATCTGTACCTCGCTCAGTCTCCAGGCAACACAATACAGCCGCGCCATGCCTCCTATACTATCCTGTTTCACTGAACTACATTGTTATGTGCTTTTATTTTCAGTTAACCCAAGGCTATAAATGATGCAGTACTCACTTGCAGACCTGTTTCAACCCTCCCCCTGGTTTTGAGAATGTTGAGTGGCTCTGTGTGTCTGCACTCTGTCATTTGTCATCCATAAGGTGACATAACTCTTTGACACTACAGGCAAGAATAGTGAACATGAATCTGCTTTGGCTGATAAATAAGAATACAATTGTCACGCTTTAATTTTAACTTGAATTATGTGCAAGGAGAATCTCCTTTTGCGTTGTATAATTAATAGTACCCGTTCTGTAAGTGTAAATGGATACTATACACAGAAGGCTGTATAGATACTCACTGATTTAGGTTTCCTGGTGGGGGTCGAGGGCCTCAAAACTGTCCTCGCATCTTCCCAAGGGGCTCGGCTGCTGCTGCCTCCATTCTTGGTGAAATCTTGTCCGCCGACATTCAGACTTTGGCCGTTGTTTAGACTCATCTTACCTCTGTGGTTCACCACTCTCCTCCAGAACCACACTGAGCCCTAGTGTTTCCCCTCGATGGCTCACTTTATTAGTCCCCGTCTCTCTCTCTGGCAGGAGTTCCCAACAAAGTCCTTACTCACTCTCGCACATTTAGAATTTGAATTCAGTCCTGCTGCACTCAAGAGATGAGATCAGCCTGACTGCTGCAGCTGCAGAGCCACTTAGCTATAATATAGCTCTAATAAGGCCGGAGCAGCAGCGAGAGGTTGCAGGACGAGGATGGAGAGAGATTCAGGAAAAGGGCTGAATTCGAGCTGCAAGCACTTCCCTTTTTGTCTCTAGCATCACGCGTGTTAGGACATTCCTTCCTCAGCTCTTCCTTGCTTCTCTTTCCTCTCTCTCACACACATTACTGACTTCAAACCATTTTGCATCCTCCTCCTCTTTGTTAACCCTTTCAGTGTCTAACTTCCTGGAGCAGTACTACAGCACGTGAGAAAGTGTGTGGCAACTGCTTGTTGCTTCCTATTGGACAGAGCACGCTGGTGTGTCAGAGGAGGGATGAGTCACGATGCTTGAAATATAGCCCTCCTTGCCTAGAGATGTAGCATCTGATATAACACAGAGCACAACATTACAGCTATGATTAGGGCTGTGATTATAATAATAATAATTATTGTTGTTATTATTATTAGTGCATTTTATTATTATATGGCTTTTTTAGATTTAACTGCAAGAGTAATTATGCACATTGCATCCCATGTGCTTTCCACTCGCTAACATTTCCTGCTCCTGTTCAGCAGTGTGAGAAATCGAGTCCATCCTAGGTCATTTACTCTCCCCCACGCTTTTACAAATAATGCCTCCTTGCCTCCTTCCCATTTAATCCCTTGAGGACGTTTCCTTGCATTGAATTACAAAGCCATGGTCGCAGTTTCCAAGCAACGGCCACAGAGTCAGACAGGCTGGGACTCCAGCACAACATCTAGAGCTGATTGGCTGTGTGGACACAAGAGGCAGTGCAGCCCGCCTTCCAACAAAACGCTGGCATCAGTCAGAGGAACAGGCAGGTGATGCAGGAAACAAAGATGAAAGTGCATGTCGTGCTTTGAAGAACATGAATGCATTATTAATAGTGTTAGCTGGGCTTTTATCACAGCAAACAGGCAATTCAGCAGCTAAAGATGTTTCTGGGAAGACGATACTGAGCAGACGCCCATGCAAGGAGTAAAAGAGGAAATAGACCATCCTATCAGACTCCTATTGGATACAACATGCATCATGGCTGTCATTTTTAAATATCTGATAGCAATATACAAAGGCAGCAAAGATTGACTGTTGACTTTAAAAAAAACACATGCACATATTTTTAACCACATACAGATACAAATCTTAAACGTGTGTGTGTGTCTGGGTTAAATGTGTGGTATATTTTCCAGGAACTAACAACCAAATTGCACAAAGCTGCACATCAGGGTTGATTACACTTATCTTTCCAATACAGCAGCTTACATGATTACGCCCCCCGACGGGATAATATATGTGTTGCTGTGACCACACACGCTCCTCCACGTACCAGACACAAAGAGCTTTTGTTGATTCTCTGGATTACTTTTATGGATTGGAGACAACTAATGGATTTTTTGGCTCAGTGTGTGTGTGTGTGTGTGTGTGTGTGTGTGTAGCATCAGATAAATATGTGTTCATTTAGATATTTGAACTGTCAGTAGATATGTTAGAGAGCAAGTGAAGAAGTAAGTGTTCAAAATGAGGAGATGTAAGAAATACAAATCTGACACTGTTGATTCAGTTTATAATTTCTATTATTGTATTTGTTTGTTTTTTTCTAAAGTTTAGCTTTGCATTTTTAATTTCATACAGCAGCTTTGATTAATTATTAATACACAGATTTGTTGTATTATTATCAATGTACATTTGTGCACATTTTCAGGCAGGCAGGAAGGAAAGTATGTTTTGCATCAGCTTGAAATTATTTACAACCTATTTGTTGAAACAGTGAGGAGGAAATCACAGACCTGTGGATTCTGGCATAAATTTGTAGTTCACACTGGTATTCCTTTTTGAGGTGTTAATGCCTCTTTTCTGCTTCAAATGATGATGTCTAATCTAGAAGTGGTCTCACACATTTCCACCAGTAATGTTCACTTTGTTAGGTACACCTGTTCTGTTGCATGTCAGCACAACACAATAGAGGCAAAACAGGTGAACCACATGGCAGCAATTTAATCCATTTAGACATGTATGAACAAGACGACATGCTCAGAATGAGCTTCAGCACGGGGGAAGACTTTGAGTGCGACACGTTTGCTGGCTGGTCTGAGTATCTCAGAAACTGCTACTCTACTGGGATTTTCCCACAGCCATCTTTAAAGTTTACAGAAAACAAAGAAAATGAAAACATGAAAATGTCTTGTTGATACAAGAGGTTGGAGGGGAAAGGCCACAAAAATAAGAAGGAAGGCAACAATAAGTCAAACAGCATGAGTGAGTGTGGATCCATTCTGCACTGTATCAACAGTTCAGTCTGGTGCACACTGCAGGGCCTTTAATACCAGTTAAGCGTTGTTTAAACATGCCACAGCTTGCTGATCGTATGACCAAAGTGCACGTCTTTTGATGGTTGCTTCCAGCAGGATAACACACCATGTCACAAAGCTGTGGGAGGCCCGTGCCCCTGGCTCAGCACTACAACTGATTTGGAAAAGACAAATAAGTGCAGAGGAGACAGCAGCATCACTCTTTTTTTCTTTTTCTTTTTCTTTTTTTTGCATGTGACACGGGGCAGACCCAGGACACGCTGGAGAGATTATATCTCTCGGCTGGCCTGGGAAAGCCTTGGTGTTCCCCCGGAAGAGCTGGAGGAGGTGGCTGAGGAGAGGGAGGTCTGGGCCTCTTTGCTTAGGCTGCTGCCCCCGCGACCCGGCCCCGGATAAAGCGGATGAAGATGGATGGATGGATGCATGTGACACTTACATCCACTAGAGTGTAGTAGAGGCTTGGTTGTGACTCTCTGCATGTTCTGACTACTTCACAGCTCCATTCATCTTTTACGGGGCTGTAAACAGAGGATGTGAAATAGAAACTTTGCAAGTGTGAAAGAGGAAGTTGTTAAACTGTAGTACACTGCTGTCTTAAAACAATTAAACTTTTCAGTCCTTGCTGCTATTATTATTTTCTAACAACTATGCTTTTAGAAAAATAACCCCAAATATAAGACCAAATGTTAGATAAAAGAAAACCCAGTAAAATGTAACAATAAAGCTTTGCATACGGCAGCGTGCATGAGTATCAGGAGCAATAAAAGGGTACACGTTAACAAAACGATATCAGCATCTTTCCTATTAGTTGTAATTGTGTAAAAATTGCAGTTGTGCTATCTGCACAACATCAGTGATGTTTTTGCCATTTAAGAAGCAAATCCCTGAGCCTCAATTATATTCGCCTTTGTGTTAAAGCCTGAAACTCTTCGGGGGTTAACAGGACACGGAGACAGTTGGGCCGCACCCACCAAGTTGATTTGAATAACGCCAGCATTTGGCCTGAGGCGCACAAGAGCCTGCCTTTCTTCATACCGGCTGTTAAACCACTCCCCGCCTGATGCACCCTGTAGTGGCGGGAAATGTTAACAAGGACACAGAAACACTATAAATAGGAATAAAGAGGGAGTCTGGGATTGCACTGACTGGACTCTGTACCTTCATTTATCCTGCAAAATCAGATACACCGTAAAAGACAAACAGAAAGGAAGAAGGCTAAAGAAGAAACAGAAGAAGAAGCAACATGCAGCTCCACCTCCCTTTTTGGCGCGAGACTGCAATAGAGATAAAGGTCCTTTAGTGGGTGGAGACAAAGAGAAGGCATGAGTGGAGCAGGGCAGAACAAAGAGAGTAGAAGCACCGACCACCCCTCCACCCCCCCTTTACCCTCACTCCTTATCAGGCCCCACCCCCCAAACACACAGCCTGAAGGCTTGAGGCAAGCCAGATGACTATTATAACCTTAATCAGTCCTTGAAAGCAGCCACTCAGGCATGTTCACCAGCACCGGATTCTTTGTTCTTACTGGGGTTTTATTTGGTTTTAGCTTCCTCCTTAATTTATATTTCAAAAACACACAGCCACACACACGTGCAAATACTGTTATCCCGCACAACTAGGGCCTTTCTTCCCTTTTACTGATTCAGAAAGCTCACACAATCAAGCTAAAGGGCCCGGGCTGTATGCTGAAATGGTGACATGGATCACTAAAAGGGACCACAATGTACTCCATATACCTATCCTAATTCCTTGCCATTTAATTAAACACATCTACCTTTATGTTGTGAGAAAAAAATACATAGCAGCAGTTCCCCTCACTTCCTGCCTTCTCCAATGGGTTCTTCACAAAAACAGGAAGTCTGTGCTGCTCATGTGTTTCCTAGGTCTCTCTGTCTTTCACAAGAACACACACGCAGGCTTATAGCGGGAAAGGGGAAAGCAGGGCATTCATTATTACATAATCTCCACAGAGGTGGACACTATAGACCTCTGACAACAGCAGTCACTGACTGCCCTGACTTGCAGTTGAAAAGAAGGAATTGTAACTATGCAAAACGAACAGACGCTTCTGCACCTCCTGCAGAGTACTTATATGTGTCCTTGGATGTGTGTGCATTTGCATTCGAGCACTTTAAAGGTATACTGATGCAAAAACGCCCTGCATCAGCCTCGCTTTGCAGTAACTGGTCAATAAATTGGCCTTTGTGTGGCGGGGGTAGGGGTCTGACCCAAGGACCTGGGGAGAGGGGGGGTAAAAGTTGTAGTGGTGGTGGTGGGAGTTGTGGTTGCGGGACAACAACTATGAGGTCTGTCGGGGGGTTAAAGGGGACAGGGGGGAGGGGTAAAGCCCCTCTCTGAGTAGCTTTTGGGTGAACGGGGGGGGGGTTGGGAGGGGTTGATGGCACTCAATGGGGCTAAATTCAAAAGATGCAGCAAGTGTCCCAACTTTAACTGAGGCAACCCTACACCACTGAGCCAAACAATGGAACATCTGCTGGCTGACAAAAGCTGGCAGTTTGCTGAGAGAGCAGCGCTAGCTGTGTGTTGCTTCTCTGTGTGTGAAGCCCCCCCCAGCAGTGGCTACAGGTTTGAACATACTCCTAAGATTCTTGACTGATTACCGCACCTCCTCTGAACATAGCAGATTATTTCACTTCATTTTAAAAGCGTAAGATTTTTATTTTTTTAAGTGGTTTTAAGAGTAGAGGAAGTTGATTCTGGCAGTCAGGGAAGTTACCAGATAGAAAAAAGTACTGGTATGCTGGACTTTGAAGCATCTAAGTTATGTGTGTGTGAAATATCTGCCATGACAGATTGCCATCTTGAACGTGAGTTTCAGATTAACAGGTAAAACTAACAGTATTAATATAAACATTGCAGTAATCAGTGTATTTATTTGCTTG